ATTGTTATAAATACATATTATTAATAACAGTTATGAGATCATATAATTGTGAATATATATATGAAATTGATAAAATTAAAATAATTAAAAAAATAAAAATAAAAACTTCCAGTGTTGGAGAATACACAACTTCTGGGGCAAATTGTTCCTCTGATTAATTGTTCTAACTATCAGGAAATTTCTCCTTAGTTCTAGGTTGCTTCTCTCCTTGATTAGTTTCCACCCATTACTTCTTGTCCTGCCCTCAGGTGCTTTGGAGAATAGCTTGACTCCTTCTTCTTTGTGGCAACCCCTAAGATATCGGAACACTGCTAGTCTTTGAACATCCGTGAAGATAGTGGATTTTGGGGAGGTTCGTCATCATTTCCACCAACCCATAAATGCCCAGCTCTCTTTAATTCTTCTCGCTTCCCGCCACCCAGCAAAAGAGCTCGCTATGCCCTCAAATGACCCCCGCATCTCTCGCTGCGGCGCCCGCTGAAGGATCCGAGAACAATTTTCACTCCCCGAGGCTTTCCCAATAAGAAGCTCTTAACGCTTCAAGGTTCTCCGTGCGCCTTTGAGGTCCTGCGTGGCAGCTCCCGGCTAAAATTCGGTGGGTTCGGCCCACCCACGCGGTGTTTCCCTTCTATTGTATCAATCTGGGCTTCCTGAAAATTACTGCTCTTCAGGATATCCCATTGCACCCATTAGATCCAGTTTGGCATGTTATATGTGTGTGTATGTGTGCGCGCGCGCGCGCGGGCTCGCTCAGAGCAAGTACTCTGCACGTGGTCAGAGATCATCTTGACAATCGTAACTCTGTTATCTTTCTCTCCGATTCTTAGCCACAGATGTTGTACCCGGGGGGGGGGAGGAAATGGGGGGGACCCCACTCTCGGTAGCTCGTTGGAAAGTTTCATCTAAGTTTAGGTATATGAAATCGATCGGTCTTACTGGTAATGAAAGAAAGAGCTCCTTTGGACTGGGCTCAAAAGTCCGGACTCAAAGTTACAACACCATCCTTGTCACCCTCCTTTCCAAAGACACGCATTCTTAAGCGTTCCCGGGGAACCGAAGGAGAGGGGAGGAGAAAACTCTGTACATGGTCCCGGGCACGCTTGCTTTTTCCCGATGGCAAAACCTTAAAATTCTCAATCCCAGCCAGAAAAAAAAAAGGAATTCCGGGATTTCCAACCAGCCCCTCGAAGGCGCGTAAAGGCGCGACTTAACTCCCCCTTCCCACGACCTCAAAGGCGCGCAAACCGTCCTTTTCAAGGCCGCCCCGAGGAAGGTGTCGGCTTGGAAGCCACCGGGGCAGCATCGCCCGGCGCCGCTCCAGTCTGAAGCGGGGCGCGGGATGGAGGAAAAAGGGGCGGTCTTAGAGAAGCCGGGAATGCCTGCCTGCCTGGCCAGGGTCGGGGCCGGGGCTGGGACGGTGGCTGGGGCGGGCGTGGGCGCGGCGGCTCGCTGGCTGGCTGGCTGGCGCGCCGTCATCCTTCCCACTCTCCTCCCTCCCTCGGCTGTGCCGCGCGGGCTCTATGACCCCGAGGTTCCGAGCGCCGATGACACGGATTCCGAGGCTCAGTTACGGAAGCAGCAGCAGCAGAAGCAGCAGCAGCAGCACCAGCCGCCGCTCCCCCCGCAGCCGCTGTCGCCGCCGCCTCCTTCTCCTTCTCCTTCTCCTGCTCCGCCGCCGCCGGCGCCACCTGGCCGAAGGGAAGCCCTGCGCGCGCAGCCCGGACTCTTCCTCCCGGCACTGGCCGAGAGGGCTCGACGGCGGCAGCAGCAGCAGCGGCGGACGCCGAGAAGGAGGCGGCCCCGGGTGGGCGCTGGAACCGCCGCTGCTGCTGGACAGCCGCTCCGAGCCCGACGTTCCCCGGCCCAAAGGGGCCAGCGCCGCTTTTGGTGCCCGCCCGGCCGACCTTTCCCCTCCGCCCCTGCCGAAGGGGCCGGCGAGCTGGCCGGCAGCAGGCCTCGGCTCGGGAGCGCCCCACTTTCCCCGGCTTCCACTCCTCCGTCGTCTCCGGCCGAGGGGCACCGCCGAGGCGCCCCCATGGAGAAGCGGGGCAAGCGAGTGGACTGTCCGGCGTTGCCTCCCGGGTGGAAGAAGGAGGAGGTCATCCGCAAATCGGGGCTGAGCGCCGGGAAAAGCGATGTCTATTACTTCAGGTGAGCCGGCCGGGGTGGCGAGGAGGGAGAAAGCTTGGGCTGTGGGGGTCTTGTGGGGTGTCCAGGGCCGAAGAAGGGGACCCGGAGGTCAGGGAAAGACTCCCCCCCTCCGGGAGACCTTGACCTCCCTCCCGCCCGCGTAGAAAAGCTCGAGCTGCCAGGGTTGAGTCAGGGCGTAACCCCGGAGGAGGTTTCGTAACGCTCCGGTTCTGGCTTTGCCGGGTGAGAAGCGGCGGCGGTGCCTCTGAGCATGTCTAGAGAGGGGGGGGGAGAGAACTTTTTGAGGCGTTCCTTTTTTCTTTTTTTGAACGCTTCGTCCCCGCGTGTCTGAGAAAAAAAAAAACAAACTTCGCTTTTCAGACGCGTGAGAACCGGCGTGGAAAAGTTTCGCACCCGTAACTTTTCAGTTGGAAGCGTGACGATTTTGACATCCCTACTTTTCAAACTTCACTTTTCGCGCTGGGCGAGACCGCTGGTGTAAAAGTCCCCGAGAGTTGTTGCAAAGAGTGGTAAAAAGTAGATCCGTTCCTCCCTTCCTCCCACCTTGGATTGATTTCACATTTCCTCCGCATCGCTCCCCCCTCGGGTACCACACTCCTTTCCCTTCTTTTACTTCATCGCCCCCCCCCTCCCTTTCCTCCTCCAATCCACTCTTCCTTGAAGTTTCATCTTCCTGCCTTTCTGCCTCGGAGCCTTTGGCTGCAATGGCCACCTGACAGATTTAGCGGGGCTCTGCCTTATATCAGACCACAGGTGGCCTCTTTAACAGTTTCTAAAACTTCTGACTCTTGATAGCCCAACTTTCCTCTCCAAACTCCGGAGGGGCAGCAGAGCCTTCCCCTGCAATCCTACAGACATAAAACTTCTGGTTTGCTCTTCTGCTTGCCAAGTATAGGAACCTTGGTTTTTAAAAGCTGGTACGGGGGAGGTGGGGGGCAAGGATGAAGCCTCCATCCTCCGCCTGGTGCTCTTCGGATGTGTTAGGCTGAATCTTCCAAGCCACTTGGCTGGTTGGGTGAACTGCACTTTTTGAACATTTTAATCCAGCGAGGGAAACGTTTGGCAGCCAAGGGAGAAGGTGCTTTCGATTTCATTTCTTTCGGCTTGGTTCGTGATTTCTGAGGCCATGTGTTTGTGCCATGTCCCCTGAGTTAATAGTTCATCCTGGCTACTGCAGGAGGAGGGAGAGAGAGGAAGAAATGGGGGGTGGGTGTCTCTGTTT